CGTGACAGTGACGAAAAAATTATGATTAATAAGATATTATTAATTTATTTTTAAATTATGTATTTAAAATTTATAGTAGAATATATTGTCGCAGTTGTCAAAGTAACAGAATTATATTTGAATGACAAAACAAGAACTTTTCGAAATCTGTATGCAGCATTTGAGTCTTCGTTGGACGAAGTAATCTTTCGCCAAAATTAGTATCGGAGAAAGTAGTTATTACTGTGCTCAAATAAATGAGCGCGTTTGTCTGAAGGACAGACTCGCAAAGTTCTCCATTTACTTAGCAGGGCATGTCGAATGAAACTTGCCGCTTCTGTGGAAAAATACGTTACAAAGCACATAAATTTCTAAAAAAAATATACGCTAGAATTTAGCATAGGGTTCCATTAACAAAGGAATATTAACATTATATGTTCATAGTAAAAAAATAGTGCAAAGACGAAGTATGTAGTAATCAAGTAGCCCTTGTTATGCAATCGACTGTCCAAACATCATCGTGGTATCTTGCACGGATGAGGAGATGGGGTGTTATCACTCAGTTGTTCCTCCTTGTACAGTAAATTACTTGCTCTAACACGTCGTATACCCAGAATGCATTTTTTTTCATTAATACCGAAAAATCTATTGACAGCAAAACATCTGTCCATCTCGTGTTCAACGCTACCGCCTAAATCGTTCAGCAGATTTTCTACGAAGTGTATATTCTCCGATCGATCTGAAAGAACTTTAGGTTTGGGTGTTTCAAACGGATAATTTTATTTTTGAGGGTACGTTATATGTCGACCCAAAAATATTTTCAATTGTTCTTCAAAATTGCAACAATTTTTTTGATCAAACTGTGTTTTTCGGTTGGGGTGAAGAACCCCTAAGTAAACGGTGTTCATGTTCGAAGCTCATGTGCTTTAAAATTCCATATTTTTTGAAAATTGCAAAAGTGCATTTTTTTAGCATCTTCCTACAACGTAATATTGAAGATAGAGATTTTTTCCTTAATAAAATTTGAATGGGTGAAAACCAGAACGGTATAAGTGATATTTTAAAATTCAGAGAAATCTGTTTAAGTCCAAATTACTTTAAGGTCGTGATGCTTCGTTTCATCATTAAAGTCACGAAAATACATCGATATATATATATATATATATATATATATATATATATATATATATATATATATATATATATAATTTATATAATATATCCTAAAATACATTTTCTCAGAATTTATAAAATGTCACATACCGTTATAGTTTTCACCCATTCATTTGTTCCTTAAAGACGTATCTTTAAATAGGTTCGTTTTAAGTTTTTCAAAAATATGAGTAGTTTTCTTGTAATTTGGGTGAAATATAGGCAATTAAAAAAAGTGTATTAATAATTTTTCTCAAAAACCGCACCACATTTATTATTTAAATTTTCTTTTCGCATCTAACGACGGGCGCTAAAAAAATTGGTGCTATTCCCAGTTTCGCCTACTCCATTTTTTTTCGAAAATTCCAAAAATATATCATTTTAAAACTACAAATCGATCCCTAATTGTTTTACTTTCTTCCTCAAAAATCCGTTCTTAATTTTGTCTTTAATTTTTTGAACGAATAGAAGGAAAGGTTAAAAGTGCCTCTTTTTCGTTAAACACTGAATTTTTCCAAGATTTTCAAGTTTAGAAATTTGGAAATAATGCGAGAAATTATGTATTGTTTCAGCACCTAGTTTTTTTGTATACTCGAAAATAATACATTCAAAATATCGAGTGACACAGAACTGCGATTTAACAAAATTCTGGGAATAATTTCAAATATTGTAACCTTCGATATGGAGGTATTGGTGTAGAGCACGATATTGTTTCTGCAAGAAAAGTAAAATCACCTTGAAAAGAATTTTGGATTATTTTGTGGTTAGGCTGAGGCTGAGGCTGAGGCTGAGTAGGTTAACTACTCAGCATTTGTCATTTAAAATATTATGAAAGAAAATAGTATTCTTATATTAATTTCCTTAACAATCAACACTGCCGGAAATTAGACTATAAGACGTAAATTAATAAATATTTAAATTAATAAATTAATAATAAATATAAATATATAATATTAATAAATAATAAATAAATGTCATTATTGATGGCGAGGCTCAGGCTCTTATCCTGCTCTTCCTCCTGACCATTTAAAAAATGTAATACAGTTATTAATGAAAAGAAGGTTATTCAAAGAGAATTAGGATGAGGGGGGTTTACAATGAGGACAGGAATGTAAGCGAGGGGGAAGCAGTAGATAGAATAGGGAATACTCTCACAGCATTTGTGAGATTAAATGTATATATTTATTTAAATTATGGATGTCTTAAAGTTAAATTTAATAATACATTAGAACGTTATGAGAATGTACTCAAATTTAGAAAAAACATATTTTCTTACTCTGCAAATTAGGTACAGAAAGGATTGAACGGATCTTGTATACGTCACTGAAAGGTTATTAAGTACTAATAAATGTTTAACACAGAAGTTTTGAAGGAGCTAAGATTGCGTATAATTGAATTACCCCTAAAGAAGACCAGAAAGGGAGAGAATATTATCATATGAGTGAAAACCCATCTAGTCAAGGGTTCAAGCCCTGAGAAAAATGGCAAACATTGTAAAATAAAGTATTTCGCAATGATAATACTTGTATTTCATAATATTAATATTAATAATAATAATAATAATAATAATAATAAAAGAAGAAGAATATAAACATTATTAATAATATGAGAATATATTATAAAGCTATTTGGTTTTTAAATTAAGTAAAAAGAAAGGGATTAAAAATATCAATTCAATTTTAGGAAAAGTTGAAATTATGAACATTTAGGAATTGTTTACTAATTAAAATATTTCCAAGACTTGAAAACACGACCCAACGTCTCCCTCCCGTAAGCCAACATTTATGCCTGGGACTGAAAACAAGGGACCATCTCGGCATGAACCTTAAGCGATTGAGTAAGCTCAAGTAAACCTCAATCAGGATGGCGGCTTAAAGCCAAGACACAATATTCTGCTAAAAACACAATACAAGTTAGCAATTTCAGTGCCCACAAAATACAAAAAGCAACGGAAACTTTTAGAACTCAATATTGTCTTAACAAATGACGAAAGTTGTAAGAAATGATGAACTGAAACACAAAGATTGCAAATTAGTAAAACTCTTCTAGAAAAAAATTAAAATCACACGAATTATATTTTGAATTCAAGCACATGTGGGCAAATGCACATATACACATTTAACGCAGTGTTAGAGACGAATATAATATTAATCCCATCAATGAAAATGTAACAACATATAGATAAAAATGACTCATGCATGTGAACAGAATGAATCCGTCAAGAATTTCAAGAGCAATGATAAATTATATATCAAATAGAATGAATGTTGGTCGACCACCAAAGATGGAAAGATCAGTAGGAGGAAGAGGCAATTTTGCCTAAACATAAAGAAGGAGACGCAGAAGGAATAGCTAAAGGGGGAGAAATAGACGAAGAAGAAGAAGGAGAAGAAGAAAAAAAGAAGAAAAGAAGAAGAATTGGGCCAAACTTTGACTTCTCATGAACGCGAATAAACAATACAGACTGTCTTCTAGGTTTTATGAAAAATAAAGCAGTAATAAACAATACAGACTGTCTTAATTTAAAGGTTTTATGGAAAATTATATCCAGTAACATATTGTTCGAGAGGTGTAAGGCTACTACAAAAATATTTCAATGCCACAGCAAACTCAAGAATCAAATAAGAAGAAGAATGTAACAAAGCCTCTAATTCGTTCGGATCGATCGCGGACGTTTTGAAGAAAATCTGCTGAACAGTTTAAGCGTTAGCATTGACCACATTAGGGCAGACGATTTGCTGTCATTCGATTTTTCGGTATGAAGGACCTACAGAACACTGATTCTGGCTACACCACGAGTTGGAGGAATGTTTTTCTATATTTAGCAACTGGGTTTTCACCTTTCTGGTTACCACAGCCCGCCAATAAGTTTCTTATGCCGAAAATTCCCTGTTTTCCGGTGCACGAAGACTTAACTATCGCTTCTTACAAAGTACCTTCGTAAGCGCGAGTATAAAAATATTGTTGGTTCGATTAACCTTAAAATCTATATTTTCGCTATCTTAAGTTATAACAGTATTCCGGAAAAGCGTTGATATTTGTTAAAACCTGAAAATCTTAAATGTTAACCACCATGACCCCTCGCAATTTTCATTATATTTAAAAAATGTAAAGAATTAAATGGAATTTATTAGGATTGTCCATTGTAATAGGGCATTGGCAATTACTATAATAATTAATTATCAATAATTAATAATCTACATTTATGAAATTAGTAAAACTTGATAGTATTGTAATCATATGCGTTGAAGGCCTCACAATTTCTCATTAATTATTTTTTCCATCAAAATCAACTTTCCGCGTCTTTTGTGAAATGGAATTTTTCTACTATCTGCTTGACGCAAGAGTCACTAACTGCAGAATATCGTGAAGCCTCATGTGCGATATCGATGCAAAGGATTTTCGTGGGCCGCATTGTCGTGTTGCCATTCTCGCGTAATTATTTTTTATCGTTCCAAGTACTTTTCCCTGAACCTTTTTTTATTTATTTTATTTAAAAGTTGTATGAACTGCTAGGACATTCGCAATCAGTACCACAACAAAACAATGGGCAAACAACAATGTATGTAACTCCGGAACTCTACTTGAAACAGTCACTCACTGATTTTCCCGATTCCGTTCCACACACTCTTTATGCAATTGAACTATCTTGTGTAATCGTGGTGCTTGAAAGGTAACGGTGTAATGTTTCATGAAATTTTGTCTTTGGTGGTGACTGATACTTTCAATTTTTCCCCTACAAAATTTTGCTCAGCTTCTACACACGTTTGATTTTTCTTTTCCTTCCTTTCCATTTTCATTTCAACTCCATGAAACTTAGTGCTTCCGTAAATGGAAAATTATCTGTTCTGCTTTTTTTCTCTTTTCAGTGTACCTCCGGTTCCAACAACCAGAATGAACTGCAATTTGCCAGTTGAAATATATTGGTTTCTACACCTCAATGGGCTTGTCTTACACCAAGCTCTGTACGAATCTTTGATGTGACATTGAAGAATTATGACAAGAGTCGTGAAACAAAGACTTTGCTCACCGAAATAAAATATATTTTTTAGACAACGTATCAAATAACATAATATAATTAATGTATTTTAGTCTAATATTCTCGCTTAGTAATGGATGTATCTATTATTCTAGGAGAAGTAATTGAAGACTGCATTGCTATATGTATTCAGTAGAACATTCTCAATTAACCTGTTCTGAATTTTCCGAGAAATCGATTATCAATTAAAATGATGCATCAACAGGTTAATTCTGGGAAAAGAGCGCACATTTCCTTTCCTGATAGGTTACGCCAAAGGGAACTAAGACAACGAGTACCTCTAGGAAATTCAGACGTTTATTACAAGAGCTTGTATTCATCCATCTTACCATGCCAGGGAGCAGGAGATGGAGATAGTAGATCCAGAAATGAGCATGGGGGCCTTTTCAGCTTGGAGTTCTGCCCGGACGGATCTCTTCTGGTGGCAGGGTGCGAGAAGAGCAGCTTCCTGGTGTTTGATCCTCTGTCTCGGAAGCTGATTCGCGCCGTGCACAACGCGCATGCAAGTTGCGTCACGACTGTGAAGTTTCTCAATTCTCGGACTTTCGCCACGGGCAGTGTTGACAAGACGGTCGCCTTGTGGGACACGAGGCACCTCAAGACACGGTGTCGAACTCTGCGGAGGCATTCAAGCGCAATAGGAAATATCGAGTTTTCGCGAAAAAATGACTTGCTGATTACGACTGCACTTGACGGGAATATTTATACATGGGATCTGAAGAATTGGGTTGCAAGAGAGGAGCTAAGCAAGAAAACATTCCGCTCCTACATGCTCCTGCGCCTGAGACTGAACCCTGATCAGTCGAAAATGATACTTTCTACGGCGAATGGTTTTCTAATTGTAATACACGATCTAGACTTGAACGTATTTACTCAAGGACGTGGCGAATATCAACTGGAGAGCATCGCTGCTTCGTATTTGCACCAGCGAGTCGGCACATCTTGCCGCTCGAGTAGTTTTCTCTCCCCGAAGCACAGAAGAAACCGTGTGGAGATGGTGGCGGACTTCCCAAACGCAGGCGCTTGCAACGTGATTTCGGCGCTGGAGATCCACCCTCAGGGCTGGAGTGCGATCAGTCGCAGTACGAGCGAGGGAAGCGGAATGGGGTGGACCTGCGTGCACGACATCCAGGACAAGGAGTGTTCTGCAGGTTGGGCTGATTCCCGAAGGTCCCGCCAGGGCGCTGCGATGAAACACCGGAGGGCCAACGGAAGACTGCGTCGAGCGAATGCGGCGTCATGTCTGGAAACAGGGTCTCGCAACGGAGACACGTCTCGGGCAACGCCACGCCCCCGTTCTACGCCTCCCGGTATTCCTGAACCAGCGAGCCCTGAGAGTCATCCAGCTTCTAGCCAGGTTTTGGGCCCGCACTCTTCATTTTCCTCACGTTCTGTGTCATCGCCATTCATTCGTTCAAAATCAAGTGCTTCCCATTTGCATCGTAGTGTTAACAAACCATTCTCAAGACTGACACATTACATTGAGGAACCAGTTGCCAGTGAATGGTATACTGAAAATCTTAGTGCTTCTGCCGATGGTCGTCTAATATGTTCTCCGCTCGGAAACGGTATTAGATTGCTTGCCTTTTCACCCGAGTGTTCGGAACAGTCAGGTTCTTGGTCTGAAAAAAACCCTAGTTACTTACACGAATTGGTTACGCACGTTTCTCACAGTAACATTATACTTTGCACAAAGTTTTCTCCGGTCCACTGTTTGTTAGTATCTGGATGCTTAGATGGCAAACTTGCTTGGTATCAACCCGTTCTTTGATTTCTCTCGTCTGGAAACACTTTTTGAGAAATGGCGATAAATTGTATTTGTGCGTAATGAATGTAGTTATCACCAGCTCTAAATATAAGATTTTTTACATTCACAAATAGTTCTGGGCGTTGTATTCCTAGGGAACGTTCAAAAATGTTTATTATGTTGTTTATTCCTAGGGATGTTGAAAATGTTAACTTAAATCAGACACGAAATTCCTGACGCCCTGATCCTTTTGTGACAGATGTTATTTTTACATGCTTTCTAGTACATAAAGAGTAGGGGGAAATTATTTGTCATAAGTCTTTCGACTCATTGTTAAGATGTATGAGTGTGTTCTAGTTCTTGTCTTTAATGGAATTTACAGAAAGACAAATATAATTGTCAAATGTTTTCTGGGAGTATAGCAACAATTGACATTTATAAGCAGAATAATGACGATGAACTATGTTTCATGTATAATCTGTCTATAATAATACAAGATCTGTCTATAATGATATAATGATCTACAATGAAGTGAATTTGGAACATTTTTTTCCGAAATTACATTTTGTATGTTTATCACGGGTTCCCAATTTTTCTTTTAAATACAGAAAACATAATTTTCACGTAACAGCTTAGAAGTCATTTCCCTGAAAACTAATTAATATGAAAGTTACCTCTCTCTTCACATTTCAGTCCATGAAGAGAAAAAATAAAATAAATATATTCCTTTTAATATACGTTAAACTAAGTTTTCCCTCTTCGATTCAAAATCCTAATGGGAGATTAAAAAACCCATACTTTGAAAATAAGGACGAACTTTGACTTTTCATTTTTAATCACATAATAGACCTTGTAAGTTTTAAAAAAGTTATTAGCCTGCGAGATACCCATTTTCATTCAGCTACCACTCCACCACATAAGACGTCTTGGCTGGAGAGCTTCACAAGTCTCATTCCTTAGGGGCTGCCAACAATTACGTATTTGACGCTTTTTCGGCCAAGATGCCGAACTTATATTCATCTCTTGAATAAGAGGAAGCTCAACGAACATTCTACCCATTGATCTTTCTTTTTTAGTTATCATCAGTATAATATAACAATGTCAAGCAGCTTTTGAAGCAAAATGTGCAAATTCCGTTAAAATAGCATCGTACTTCAATAAATGACAGCTACTATCATACCAAGTGTGGCATTCAGCTAGAGAGCTGTTCCATGACCTCACGAGACTAGTGCCCTATTCCGTAGGGGCTGTCAATTATTTTCTGTATTGACACGTCTTCATTCAAGATGTAGAACTTTCTATGATCTGCTGGACACCATCCTTTGATACACTCTATATGTTTATAGCTTACAATGCCATACTCTCGTGCTAACGGAGCTCTCTTTTGTTGTCAGCAGTGTAATATGGCAAGATACTATACTTATGTTTTAGATACTAAGTAGCTTTCTAGGGATCCACTCTCGACTATAATTCGATTGGAATATGCATTAATATACAGCACTAAATGAAAGCTTAAATTCCACTCCTTGTAGTGTGTAACATGACTTTTGTTCTAACAAATTAGTGCGGCATATAAACTATTATTTTCGCAATAAAAATAAATACTAAAACAAGATGGTATTTCTATTTTTTATTACCAATCTTACCTGGACTCTTTCCTACTAATATTTAATTTTGTCATTTTTCAAAAATGAATTAGTTGAAATGGCACCCTTTAGGAAGGAATCTTACACCTTTTTTGATAGTTGTGAAGAGTTTTCTCCAGAGGAAAAATATTAAAATATTACGTGCAGAATCAATATTGCACGTATTGTACGAACTTTGCAGGCGCTTGTCCGCGCTATTTCGTCCAACCTCACCCCCCCTCAGCCACCGAATTAGTTGCATAACAGTTCCTCATACGTGCGAGGGTCGGATCACGGATTAAAACTGCCTTTTCCATCACATGTCCATTCCACGCTCACAAAAAAGACGGTGGGGTTCCCTAGGCGCCTCTCCGTGAGAGCCGAAAAAAGCCGCGCACTTCAATCGACCTCCATCTTCGAGACTGACATTTCGATCGCTGAATCGAATGGATAGAGCGCTGAATTACGGTCACAAAGTAGCACCGAACGCCCTTAATCGCTTAGGACGCGTTGGAACTCAATCACGGTAGCATACGCAGTTGCCTCTTCTCCGCTTCTTCACCAATTGGCCGAGAGAAAGCAATGTCGACCAATATAACAATTGTGGGAAAATAGTCACTAAAAAAGTACTCAATCAATGTGCGTACTATCCACTGTAGAACCTTATAGAACAGTCTCGCGCATACACACTCACGCACTCGCTCTTTCTCTCTCTCTTTCTGTCTTTCTCTCTTTCTTTCTTTCTTTCTTTCTTTCTTTCTTTCTTTCTTTCTTTCTTTCTCTGTTTCTTTCTCTCTTTCTTTCTCTGTTTCTTTCTCTCTTTCTTTCTCTGTTTCTTTCTTTCTTTCTCTTTCTTTCTTTCTCTTTCTTTCTTTCTCTTTCTTTCTTTCTTTCTTTCTCTCTTTCTTTCTCTCTCTCTTTCTTTCTTTCTCTCTTTCTCTCTCTCTTTCTTTCTTTCTCTCTTTCTTTCTTTCTCTTTCTTTCTTTCTTTCTCTCTTTCTCTCTTTCTTTCTTTCTTTCTCTCTTTCTTTGTTTCTCTCTCTCACACACACACACCACACACATATACAATATCAACAATAGCTTTTATTTACCCAAACAGTTGTTTCGTGTAAGAATTTTATTGTTAGAATCGTCCATAACCCTGATGGATAGTTTCGTCTTTCAACACTTTTCGGATGTTTATAAAAAATTCGAAACCATCGCCACGTGTCAAGAAAACACAAATTTTCTTACGGCTTGCACATAAACACGATACAATGTTATTTTAGTGTCTGTTGATGTTGAGAACAGTTGTGCAATTGTATCAACATAGTGAATGTTTAACTAGCTAGTAAAGAATACACGTGGCCATCTGTGACCCTTCGAAGAGGACCACAAGTAGAGAAAATGATAAATGACAAATGATCTGGTCTTACCTGACCTGACCTGACCTGACCTGACCTGACCTGACCTGACCTGACCTGACCTGACCTGACTTGACCTGACCTGACCGTACCGACCTGACCGGACTGCACTACTGCCTTAACGGTCTCGGCGATCAGTACCGGCCTATAGTGCCGTGCCACAGCTTGTTTACATTGCCTCCAAGAAAAGAAAATGGACGTTTTAATGTGCTTAAAATAGAATATTTTTTTGTGACGGGGAACTCCTGCAATTCCACGCGCGTCCAGTTTCATTAATATTACATAAAATAGTATAATGTGTGACTCTTGTGGGAAATAAATGGTTAGTGACAGTAATAATAAAAATTAAGATTACTGTATAGGCGTTTCATTCATAGATAAAGAATGATAAGATATTGTAGTAACCATATGCAAGGTAATATACAATCGCCACTTAGATTCTATTGTTTTTTAAATAATTAAACTTTATTTATAAATTTAAGATTTTGAACATTCAAAGGTATTAAATATTCTGAAAAAGAAATTTCAAAACGACAATAATTGCTATATTTGAAAGGCCAGTGTTAGGTTGCCAGGCTTCACCGTGCCACTACTAATGGCACTGAAAAGTACGCGACTTCCGAAGAGTTAACACAAACTTGCTGAAAATGATCGAAATATATTGCTAAAAATGTTACACTATTAATTTCACAATAGATAAAATTTTCCTTCAATTATATAGAATTTTCTTTGGCACGTCGTTGATTCTCGCCTTTCGTGTTCTCGTGGTACTTGAATGGAAATTTTACGCAACTGTTAAACCGAATTTATATCAAACTAATGCTCTAACACAATACACTGAGTGGCTTTTCATTCTGTGTGTTTCCATTATAAATTAGATTGAGCTGTTGTTGCTGTAATGAGATTTATTCTACAGCCGAAATGTCGATGTCAAATTTTTGTGTTCAACATATTTTGACTTGCTGAAACGTTAATAAAACATTTAGCTATATTGTAATATAGCTAGTCAATAAGTTGTTATGTAAAGGGGATGAGGTAGTAACAAGATATTTCTCGAAAAGGCACAGAAATATTTCAAGATATTTTCAAAATTCAACAACTTCTTAAGAAAGACAAGAAAAAATAATTTCATAATTATCGATCAATTTCTTTTGTCAGTTTTCTCAAAAATATTAGAAAGACCTGTCTATACACGAATGTATACTTCTCTAAACATTCGAAAGATTTAAAGACATTCAACATGGATTTAAAAAATCAAAATCAATCGAAACGGCCATATTTTTTTCAATTTTAGCTAACCTCGTCTTCTTGGTACTTTTATTCATCATTCAACGATATGCAGTAAAAGGGTGGGGAAGAGATTCTGGAGTTCAAGAAATTGCGAGTATACTACATATCTCTCATATATCATGTAAGATTTTGCTGTTTGAAGAAAATAAATAAAATCTAACCAGGTCACCTCAACCACAGAAAGTCCCCCATTGTTTGTAAATGTTAATATCGTGATTTTGGTTCAATCACCATTGTGCTCGTTTTTGTATTTTTGTATGTTTATGTACATGTTCATATATTTTGGAGACGAGTAACCATTCGATAAATAAGGCACTCACTGTCATAAAGACGCTGCACCCGGAAGTACGAGGTGGATGGCGATCATTTTTGGTAGACGGGTAGGTGGTACTACAGCTAAGAAATGAGAACACACTCGCATTTGTAGAACCAATACTTATTGCGGAACACAGCTACAGAAGGTTCATTTGAGTGCGGCGAAGTGCCACCATGTTGGCTAACACACGCGTCCAAGCGCGGGAAATGGAGGCGCAAAGGGAATCTTGTAATAGAACATTTCTAAACACGTAATTCTTGAAGCTTGGGAGTCCTGATCGCGCGTTACATTCTCCGTTACGGAGAGTTCTGGCAGTGCGGATGGGTAACGTTGGGTGTAAAACTGCCAGGTATCTCGGGAACCGTGTTGAAGATTCACAAACCGTTC